CCTTCTTAATGAGCTTGGCATTAAAGCTGAGGGTCCTCTCAGACTGTATTGTGACAACAAGGCTGCCATCAACATTGCAAATAACCCTATGCAACACGACAGGACAAAACATATTGAGATTGATCGACGTTTAGTTAGAGAGAGAATAGTCTCGGGAGAACTCCGCATTCCTTATACTCCATCCGAGATGCAAATTGCAAATGTATTGACTAAAGGGATGGCTGCAGCAAAGTTCATGGACCTTCTTGGCAAGCTAAACATGATTGACATCCATGCTTAGCTTGAGGGGGAATGTTAGGTTGAAGGTTTTCATCTATTGATGGTTCGGCTGATAAGAGTTCTTATTAGCCTGTATTTGAGTTTAAGTTGTTATGTACTAGGCCTGTGTTAATGGGCCTAAGTTTGTTTGGTGTTTTAAATTGGCTGGGTGTCCCATCACTAATCAGGGGAATTCCAGTCATTTCCTGTAACATTGTACTGTACTCTAATATAAATAATAGCATTGTCGACTGGGTCATTCAGTTCGACATTCTCAGTATCTCTAGGTCTTCTCCTCTCTTCTACTGCTTCGGCTACAGAATTTCAGCTTTCATTTACAAATAAGTACATTAAGTTCCATCAACAAAGTATAATTTGGCATACATCAATGCTAACGGAACACAAAATTATCACCAAAAGAGCCTAGAAATATACCTTAATTTTGCAATACGGTTCATACAAGAAGCAGCAGCATGTGCATTATAATCCCTAAGAAGAACAGAGAAAAGTCCATCTTTATTGCCATTTCCTGAGGTAAAGAAAACAAACAAATAAACACTCATGTTATGAAGGTCATAAATAACAAAGGCATATTCCTGAAAAGATCACATAGGACATCCATTTGTGTGCTGAAAATGCCAATATGTTTAGTTGATGAGGGAAATGAAAATTTTTAGTCTTTTTTTTACCAAAATAATCTCCACTGGTGTTTTATACGAGGTAAGCTTAACTTTTGTACTGTAAAAGAAGAGAAGATAATTCAACTGCTATTCCGTTAAGAAAAGAAACGGATTTAGTAACTAATAATATCCAATACCCATTTTGCTTAATTGATCAGAGAAGTCGAACTCACTGGTTTCCAACTGGAATAATCACTTCTTGCAGTTTTTCAAATTCCATGGAGAAAGGAAAAAGCAAGAGTTTGGATCAAAAAGTTGTGTTGTTTGTGTTGATTAGAATAACTGGCATTGTTGCTTTGAGTGCTCTCGATGATCTTGCAATATATCATGGGTGTAGCAGGTATGTTGCACTATAATGGGTATTTTAAAGTTTTTATAGATACAGATTGGACTTGTTCACTTGAATCATTCTATGTCAAGGTATTATCTTTGTATGTCATATTCTAATATCCCCATGGAGAAAAAAACATTTAATTGTCGCTAGATCAAGTAGTGAGGCTAAATACAGATTAATGTCTAATGGAGTTTCTGAGGTAATTGTTTAAAAATTCTTATAGGTGACGAGAATCAGATTTGAAGTACTTACAAGGCTGTGTTGTGATAACCAGATAACAGTAAATGTAGAGAAACTGATGTGGGCCCCACAGCTGTGGGGCCACTCTGCCCGTAGGGTAGAATATACCTAGTCTATCTGTTATGTTATTCTGATATTCTAGTTCTGTTATTTACGTTTCAGTTTTTTATATTGTTAAGTGTTATGATGTAAACACCAAGGGCAGATATGTCCTTTCATGTAACTAGCATAACATATAAATATTAAATTGAAGTGGCGGCAGCAGATCATTTAGAATCTGTCCTTCCTTTCAAACCTGTGTTCTACTGCTCTCTCACTAATCTTTCTCCTCTTTCTTCTTCACTTTCTCTTCTGTTCGAACCTGAAATTCCTTAGTGCCCAAGACTGATAGCAGTCTTGATCATCTTCAGTAAACATTGAATCTCTGCAGGCCTTTTTTAATCAGCAACATGAAATGGGCTGGTCCAAGGAAATCACAGTCGAAGCAAAGAAATTTAGACTGGAAGAGACTAGATATGAAGGTTTGGAATCTTTGGAGTTCATTGAGAAAAAGTGGGCCTCAATTTCCCTGACGAAAGATGTGGTGGTTCAAGGGCTTTCTGGATGTGGCTCTTAATACTGTGATAATACAAGAATGGAGGAATAGTTTTCAGAAGACAAGGTTTATGATGCAGTGAAGAGAAACGACAAGGGTTGGTTCATTTCCTTTACAGAGAGGTTAGAAAATAGAAGGATGAAGAAGATTTGTGACCCAATAGGCATTCAGATAAGGGGCTGGGCCATGACAGCAGAGGTGTTACAGGAGTTTCACTCGAGGATGGAATAAGCTAAGGTTGAGGGGGAAGGGATGAAAAGAGTGGATTCAGAAATGCGTGAAGACGAAGAAGAGAATAACAGTTGCCACGACTGTGCTTAGACCAATTGTGTCTCTTAAGGTGGTTTTAACTGGCGAAAAAGAAAGCTGGAAAAAAAAAATTGTGTTAACAGCAGAAGAGGAGGTTTGTGATTGGAAGCCGGACTTGGAAGCATTTAGGACTAAGATTAACAGTCATGTTCCTGTGTTCATTAGGCCTTTTGATAGCAAAAAGGCAATCGCTGATGTTGAGGAAGAAATAGTCAACCTGCAGACAGTAGAGACTTGCGGCAGTTCAGTTTCAGTAGAATAATGGTTTCCAAGCTGCAAAAGTATGAACTTCACAGATGTTACCGATCTCATTGAAGCTTCTGGACCTCCCATCCAATCTCTGGGTGGGTCAAGTGTTTGAGTATATTGCAAATGCCATCAGACAAATGTTGGTTGATCTTGATATCCATTATCTTTGTGCTGCAAAATGGAATTACAGGGGTGAATCCAGAAGTCATCCCACAATTTGTGGAGTTGCAGGTGGACGGCCTTTGTTACAGGGTATGGATTGAGTTAGAAGTTGAAGTGACACTGTGGAGGAGCAAGCAAGAGTCTGAGGAAGATGAGATGACATGTCAGGTTGGAAGCCAGGTGGAAGATGAGGAGAGGGAATGAAAAGAACTCAAGAGAAGGGAAGAGAAATAGACTTAGAACATGGGAAAACGACAAATGAGGTTGGGATGCTTCAAAGTTGTTATAAGGAAGATGAAGCAGCGGGGCTAATCAAGGGCAATCTAGTAAGTTTGGAAGGAAAGGTATGAAGAAAGGAGGTGTTAAAATTGATAATACTAGGTGGTGCTAAGTGAGCCGGGTGGCCCAATTGGACTTGAGCCAAAGTCAGCTAATCCACATAACTTTTCTAATCATCACATGACTTCTAAGAAACTGTGGATTATGGACAATGAGTCTTGTCCATCTTCTTCCTCTTCAAGTCCTATTCATGCTTCTCATTTGAACCTAAGACTAGGAAGGAAAATTCAAGGGGTTTGATCACCTAGTGATTTAAAAGACACGCCTAGGCGCACAGGTGAGGTGCATTTTAGGGTATGCGCCTCGCCTAGGTCCTAGGTGCAGTTTTTTAGGGTATGCGCCTCGCCTAGGTCCTGATGCGCCTAGCCATGCGCCTTTTAAAAATTTGACACTTTTTTGCTTTTTTTTTAACCTAGCAGCTGGGTTAGGGGCTCTGCCTAGAACCCCCTATTTGCTAATGTTGTTCATTCACTCATCCTAATAAAATGTCTTCTTAAAAAGCAATTAAAATTATAAAATCATTATTTTTGTGTCGTAGCTAAGAATTTAAGACCCTAACATGGACTTGTTTGGGCTTGCCTCGAGGGGTGTGGCACAAAGGTGGCCCGTAGAATCAAAATGTAATATGTTTTACATCACATTAGCTACTTGAAGTAATGCAATTGAGGAAAAAAGAGAGTGTGGATTTTACATTCTTGAAAATGTTTATATGTTTGGTTTTATTTTTAAATTCTCATTTGAATATGCATTACATGTTATGTTTATGTATTTTAACTTTAGATAATAGGTTTTGTAAAACATTTATTTTAAAACACCAGGTCATCCAAAGGAGGGAAACTAGTGAAGACGGATGTGACTAAGCGACTGAGGGCAAAGAAGGTAACAGGCTTTAAATACCACTCCTCAAGCTCTCTTGACAATTTAAGAGGAAGGAGATTTGGCAATGGGCAACTATGAAGTACGTGCGCACTAACGATTTGAGTTTTTTTTTATTGGAAACGGTAACTTCATTAATATAACTTAAGAATAACTTTCCAGATTTAAGTACAGCTGTCAACCCCTAAGTAGGTGTTGAGCCCTAATAATCTTTCTTACAAAACTGCCCAGAACATTCTCTCCCTCACAGTCCCTTGTTTAGCCAATGTGTCAGCTAAACCATTAGCTGATTTCCTTGTCCATTTGAAGCATGCACCAATCTCCCTTGTTATGTTGAGGATTTCCCTTATGGGCTGTCTATAAATCCAAGCTCCCAACTTACTAGATTGCAGCCACTCAATCAACAATTTAGAGCCTCCCTCTATCTCAATTTGGTGTAACCCCAATTGTTTGGCATATCTTACACCTTGAAGCAAGGCCATCACCTCCAGTCTCAATGAGTCCCCCACTCCTATTGGTCCCGAAAACAAAGCCACAATTCAGTCATTTTCATCTCTGAATAGTCCTCCTATACCTGAAGGGCCTGGGTTACCTCTTGAACTCCCATCGAAGTTCAATTTCACTCTTTGTTGTGTTGGTGATGACCACAATTCCTGCACAATCGGTTTCATGGAAGTTGTAGATGTCACCACTTCCCAATTCCTATAAATGTCTTCAGCTAAGAAGTCTTTAAACAAATCCAAAGTTTTGAACCATTGAATAGTCAAAATAATGATCCTTTCTACAATTGCCTCCTTGGATTTCTCCACTCCTTTAAGATTATATTGTTCATTTCTTCCCAAACTGACCATAAGATAGCTGCTCTTGTGGCTCTCCACATTAATCTTCCACGTCTCTTCGGTTGCCTGAAAAAGCTTGGGTCAAAAAGGCTTGCCACATCTAGGGGAGGTGTCCACCTACAACCAAAGATAGAAGAGAACTAGGTCCAAATAAAGCACACAAATGGACAAGAAATTAATGGGTGTGTGATCGCCTCACCAGATCCCAAGCAGAGGCTACAAACATGGGGTGATAGGCATACATTTGGCCTTTTTTTTTGCAACATATCTAGGGTATTGATTTTTTTGGAGAACCACCTCCCAACAAAAAACCCGAATTTTTGAGGGTACAAACTGACACCAAATCTCCTTTGAAGGAAAGCTCCTTACAGAGCTTGATGATTGAATGAGGACATCAAAAAAGGAGGAACAAGTGAACACACCAGATGGGGAAGGTTTCCAAAATCTACTGTCCAAACAAGATTGATCCAGGTAGGTTGACCCTAGAAGGTTAATTAATTCAATGATTTGAGTTATTCTAAATGTTTGATGGTCAAAGCAGGCCAAGAGAAGTTTGTTTCCCAAGCACACTATTATTGGCTACCAAAGAAGTTATTCCACAGGGCAGGGATATTGTCAAGGACATAGCTTTGCACTCTGAAAATGATTTTTTTCACTATATCAGGTAGGATAAAGGATGGTGGTGAAAATGTTCCAACTAAATAGAGACTATCAGTTGAAGAGGTGATGGATCAACATCGTATGATAAGTGGTAATGCGGCGTTGGAGGAAAGGATGGAAAAAGCTGATGTGGAAGAAAATTCTGATGAGGAAGGCAATACATGGAATGACATGTACTTCACTACTTCGAAGAGTACGGTCCTTTCCTATGAGACTAGCAGTAAGAAGCTGGGTCAAGACCCCACT